GATTATCTCAACAAATACACACAGCATTCACGTAGTTGGTAGGATTTCAGGCTTAATGACGAAAATTAATGCATATGAAAGCGAATGGTAATCTAACCACGTTCCACGATAAGGAAATTGTCAAACAAGGTGAATTTCTTGGCTTGTTTATCCACACTGGTTATAATAGATGTCATACAGTGCTTGAGGTTCATCGAAACTATGTGGTTACATCGGCGTTTTTCGAAATAAAATGCAGACTTTATAAACTCCGAGATACGACCAATGTAAAGAGGGAGGTACTACACAAAGGCAGCAACATGATCGGTCGCCGTATATAATAGACAAATATATAAAAACAACGGTGATGAACAGAAATCATTGTAAGAAGTCAGAAACAGCCAAAATGACGAGTTTCGACAGATGGTCGTAAGATAATGCCAAGGCAAAGAGGAAACTATGATGCATGGAAAAGATGGTGCAAGCAACAGACTCGACCGATAAGAACGTGAAGTGGGGGAAACCATCGTTCAACCATAGATAATCGGGGTCTAGTAGCCGCGTCTAAAATGGTGGATGATGGTCGTAATGAAGGACATGCGTTTAATGGATGCTATTCTAAAAATAAACGAGGTACCAACCGAAGGACCAGTCGAAAAAGCGTGTGATTATCTACAATAAGCGAGATGTTGGACAATAATCCTCTCATATTTTTCCACAGCGTTGAAGGACCGATGTAAATATATCTGTGCTAATCAGGGTAATATTAAAAACTGTTTTTGCAGAATTTGGATTAGAAAGAGGCTAAATTGCATTTATACATTTCTGCGTAATACAAAGCTATGCAAATAGTCCATATCGGGTGCGAAAGGAGAAGATGCTCAAATATGCAAATGATACCAATTTTGTCAAATTACGCATATGTACGTAAGTATGTATGTAAATGACCGGTTTGATCGTGGAGCGTTGTCAGTTTCTTCGCGATGGAGGCTTAGTAGATTAGATATAGGACGAGGCGCACTGAGGTAGCAATTGTCGGACAATAATGTGAGGCAAAGAAGAGCGATTACCGCCTTTTTGCCTGTCGGAGTTGTGCGCCGTCAAGAATGAAACGAAGACGATGGGACGGGGTAGAGCGGCAACTTCATAGGGCTTTGCTACTCCAGCTGAGTCAACAACTCGCCTAATGAAGATATGAAAAATGTACAAAGAGAGGTACAGGAGTTAGAGGTGAGGGGAACACTTCGACAAGTCAAATGACGGACTGTGGAAGCAAGAAAACCCTACACGAACAACTTTTC